CTCACTGTCAACATCCTTACAGATATCTGTATGCTTCAAGATGATGACTACCTTACCCACGGAAATTGCTTTCTTGTCAAAAGTCAAACTTTAATTTTCTTCACAGCCTGCAAATATATTTCTCCATGATTTGTTATGATAATTGATCTTACCACATTCCACACCTTTGCCATGTTACATCTGAGAGCATATGCTTCCTCCTGTTTGAGACTTCCTCTCACTGCCATCATTATGGGATGCAGTAAGATAAAAGGAAAGATACGGCCCACAACGCTTGAGCCACTCCAACACCAAATGAGATGAGACAGAAAATTTGTGAATCTGTTTTTTTTTTTATGTTTAAACTAGTGGCATGTATAAAAGTGTCACATTTCATCTGCAAATCAGATAATCCACTCACAGATAATTAAGAGCCTACTTCAATTTGATTATTTCATTAGGACATAAGAGTAATATGCCATGCCCCCTCTTAAATTCCTTTTCAATTTTCTGTCCTAATTCTTTAAGAAAATACTAAGCTTGAAACATTGTATCTACGTATTGCTCTCTTGCCAACGTTTTCTTTTTTCTGTCTTCACTAAATCTTTTGTTGACTAATTGTAAATGGGGTGAGTAGCTAACCAACCCTTGCACTGCAACCGTTTCTTGACCTTTTGTGCGTTCCCGTTCACTTAACCCATATGCAGCCAATACCTACCATGAAGAACAGTTTCCTACATACCTGGATCTCAATGGAACCCCTTTAATTCATGGCCATAATCAAGGCCTCCCTGTAGGTCCCACATCTCATAGAACCTGGTGGGGGAGTAGTTCAGCTATTCAACTAGGGTACAGCTACAATGTCATATGTGGCAGGTTTTCTTAAGGCCTTTCTAACAACCCTATCAGTCATTCTTCTCATGTGGTAATTAATATTTAATACTAAATTATGACAGCAACTGATACAGCATAATTAAATAATCCATTAATAAATTAGTCAGAACAAAAACCAGACAAATGAAAGCTGATAAAACTGATAGCCACATTTTAAATGTTAAGTTAACACATGAACTGTTCATGAAAATGTTGGGATTTCCAATGCCACAGTTTATTCTATTAAGTTATATCCACTTGTGCCTTTGGAACCAAATGACAAATTGCATAATACTTCATTTAGCATTATTACATGTAAGCTACTTGTACTGTTATTGCTATTAACCTTTAATGTATGTGCAATATAGCTTACATGTGGTCCAGTTGGTCATGCGTTGCACTAGCATACAATTAAACTGTTGATCCCTGAAATCAAGTCCAGACAGTAGGCCCATAATACAGCAATTTAAATCCCCTATTCACATGCGATAAATGTTAAAGTAGAAGAAGTGTACGATGTGTGATTTAGTAAAGAAATTATAATAGCTAGGTAACTAATATGACAAGATCACAAAATATGAAATTGTATATAGAAGATAAAATATTTGCTTTGACATGTATCATACTTATATATTGTATTATTCAAATTAATATTTGTAAATATGTAACAGTTGCATGTTTATGAAAGACATATGATAAAATAATTAAAATTGGTGAGACACGATTGATACCTGGTACCTGAGGAGTACTAGGAAAGGACTCTATCCTACCGTACATATGTAGTACAGAATTTAATGAATATATGTATTAACTTCAAATTGTACAGGACAAAATTCACTAGTCTTTACATACAAATATATTCACTTTTATTAGCCTCATTTATAATTTTGCACCCATAAGATTGTAAATAGGTATGTGGCTTTAACATTTAGCATTTATCATTTATTGTAATTTACATATATAAGAATGTGCTGGGAAATATAAACAGAGAACCAGAAAAGTAATTTGAGTTCCTTGTCTGAATTATAACAAAGAGAGAGAGAGAATGTATATATGATTTGAAGCTTTCATGATGACCATACTCGATAAAATCCTTTTAGGCCATCAGCCACATCACGTGCTCAAAAGAAAACAATGTTTTGGGAAATATCTATGTTCTCACAGTCAAGGAACACAAAGAATAAGGACAGTGTGGTTTCCAAATGTTGGTTTCTTCTGATCAATCGATATAGTTGTTGGTGCAAGAGCGGGTTATTGAATGTATGGATTGGTGACCACAAGATCAGTTTTTAACAAATATAGACTGGACATATTTTCAAAGAATAGCTTTCCATGTAACAGTCAACAATGTTTGGTTGTACCTTGACAGGAAACAGAAAGTAACTACAGTTTACTTTCAAGCACAAGAACAGTAGTTTGTTTACAGAAATCCACTGCTACTTTTAATAACTAGCACTTCTGTCAACAAAAAGTGAAAAATGTATTGTGAAGCTCAGCAGAATTGTAGGTGGTAACCGATGTGTCAGATAACTATATTGTCACCATCTTCAGGGTTGGTTACTGCCTACTACACTACATGACATCGCAACCGAGAAGACCAAAATCATTCACTAATTATTTTCTTATATGAAAGGAAATGTAACTTTCTTCTTCCTGCTGCATCTAGAATTTGCACAGTCGTTGTAAAGGACATAAATACAGAGTATATCAAGTCTGAAGACACTAAACTCAGTGTGGGTTTGTTTCAAAGTCAATCAGGCACTCTGTTTTGGGAGAGAAAGTATAGTATTTCATGTTTTGAATAAAATACATGAATTGTAACAAATGCAAGCTCAGAAAATCAATAACCTACCATCGTTTCTTAGTTAATATTGTCTTATTGTATTGTATATAGTCTGAAATGAGCCTAAAGGATATACATGGATAAATCTAATGCAACGATGTAAACACTGTGTTTGTAGTAACAATTCTTCAAAATATTTTCTTAAATTATTTCTAAAGCATAAAAAGATCCATCAGTCATACAACCATGATTATGTAAGAAATATCTTGTATTTATAAAATATGATTTCACTGTTCATTTCAATCTGAAAGAGCTCAAATTAATGGTGGGAGGACACAGAATAAGAATAAACACACAAGACGTTGTTAATGTATGCATTCTGAATAACAATGGAACAGGCTCTAGTGAAATGGAGGCTACAAGAAAGTATAAGGTGTAATTGCGGTCAAACAGATCTATAGCCTACCTAAGAAGCTAGTTTACAGAAAGCTGCGAAGTCAGACACAATATATTTTTTAATTACCTATTTTTTCAACATTCTTTAGTATTTTTAGGAAACATTAAGTATGTAAAAGAAATCGTGGTAATATGAATTTGTGATCTGCGTGTATTATATTTCTTCTTTAGATGTGAGAGTGTACCCCGTTATAAAAATACTAACATGATCCATTGTGGTGCAACTGATGATAAAGTGTGTTGACTCAATCAGTCTACAGCATTTATTCTATTCATATATTGATATTGACTTGGACCTTGCTACTGATATAGTCAATCTATGTAAATTATACAATAAACATAATTAGTAACCAAGTCAATCGGTATACTGCAGTCCCTGCACTTGCTAATGTGAATGTGCCTAGCAGAAATAGTCCCATCATAGATACAGAGAACAAATGTAAGCAGTGGCAAATGATGAAATTTTTATGTTTCAATATCTGTGAAGTTTATTTAATACAAATTAAAATTTTCAAAATTAAAGTTGTATATTTTGCAAATTAAGATATAAAAAAAGAGTATTTTTCAGTGTCAACTTCCAAAGCATAACTGTAGCTTTGAATGAAATAAATATGAAATTAAATAAACCTTTTCCTGAATGTAATGTAATAAAGTTCCATGACATGGTTTTGTTTTGTTGTGCATAGTATCATAAAAATGTAGCTTATTTTTAATGTTATAGCAGTATTATGTAGTAAATTATGTGAGTGAAAAGACGCATTTGTGTTGTTTAAATGTGTGGTTTGGCAACACAGTGAAATAGATAGGTCTGGATATGAACATAGCATTCTTTTGGTGTCTTTCCATGATAATATTGTGGTCCAATATTATTGAGTTTTAGTGGCACTTGTTTCAACTCATTGTAATGATAAATAGATATTTTATTTTTTTTATTATTTAATTATCCATTTGTAAAGTACTTTTCCTGAAGTGCAATAAATGTATCAGAGCTATCCACTATTAGAACCAGTTGCAGATGTGTTGCTTATTTTATCTTTAGAAAAAAGAATGTCAGATAGAATTATTGAATAGAAGACTGAAAATTGGACACACATATTGGTATAATGGCAAAGGCAAACATGCAATCAACACCCATCCACAACTTACATCTAACAAAAGCTGATCGGCACCCAACTGCTTCATATGGAACCTGAAGGTTCATTACCATCTTCACAAAAGCCCACCAATGGTTCCTATTCTAAGCCAAATTAATTCAGTCAACACCCTGATATCTTTAAACCTGTGCCTGTTTTCATGGCAATAAGTTCAAATATTTGACCATCTTCTTTAACTCCCAGATCCAGCAGTATATACACCGGCTGAAACTGACCCTCAAGGTTGTCGGCCAGGTATTCTGCATTCTCGGAGTCTGAGAATTAGTAGACCTGACACTTGTAAGAGGAGCAAAGAAGTGGGGATTCGCATCACCCTGTTTGTCATCTTTCACAGCAACTGCATACTGCCATTATCAGATCTATGACTGTGGCAGGCACCTCCGAAACGTCGGTAAACTTCTACCAGGCATATTCCAGAAGAAAGTCATCTTCATACTCATCAGAGAACTTGAAATCTCACATTACGACTGCAACCAGATCACGCAATACCATTTTTAAGCTAAATCTCGCTGCTTCGGTTTTGGGGCCATTGTACATTCGCGACATCTTTACTCCGCTAAATTCAATTACTTGAACGAAGTTCCCAAAAATCCTGGATGATGCCGCTAGTAGACATGGTGTTGGTGGTTGGTAGTATATGTGGATATTGGTATTAATGTATGGTTTAGGTTATGTGTATGTTCTTAAACTGTGGAGCAGGTTGTTACGGTTGTTTTAATATTATAGAAGTCGTATATTTAAATTGAAAGTTAACAATGAATCAGGCAGATGTAAGTAAACTGATGTCACGCCTGAAGATTAAATATAGCCCTGTTAAAAGAAAACTTAAAAATTCTGAAGGACCTGTGGGAAGGGCGAAAAAAATTCAGAAAACACTTACGGCGCTTATAAAGCATGAACGCATTGAGTTGAACTTCAATCGAGCCGATGAAACTAGAGGTTATGTGGAGCGGGTAAGTATTTGTCCTGCTGTGTTGGTTGATATTGTTTTTATAGGCGTGATCAGATACAATTCGTATTATCTTCTAAAGTTATATAGAACTTAATTGGCCAAAATAAAGGACAACATGTTTCGCACTATGGGCCCACATATCCCTGGATATTTAAAACATCGTACTTTTCATATTTTTACTCAGCCATGACAAATGTTATAATGTTTTGGGCTAACTCATTTGACAGTATTAAAATATTCCTTCTTATTTGAATAAAGTGTGATTTTTTCAAAGTTTCTGAATTTTTTGACGGTGTTATTTATATTATTCCCACTGTGAGAAGAAAATGAAGGCATGTTTGGGGAGAAATGACCTAAAAAAAATATTTGCCAACATCATGTCATTGTATTTGTAAGGTTAAGACTGGATATGATTTTTAATGACAACTGTGTTTTGCTGGCAGTTGATCTCAGATGCTATCAGATATGGGGACTGCCACCGTGCAACAATGGAACTAGCAGATTACTGGCTGCTGGAAAAGCAGCTGGTACATAAGTTGTTCAAGGTGCTGGTACCACGTTTTGAGAACTGCCCCGTCTCATATACTCGAATGTACCGCGCTCCAAGACCCTGTCCTGGCAATCATTTTGAAAGGGCAGTTCTTGAGCTCAGAGGTGAGATTCATAAGTTATGTTTGCTTTATTATATTTTCGTGTATTTGCAGTTTGAAAGATAAGTATATTATAATCAACTTCTGATTTTGTGGGATGCTACTAAAGCAGATATTATTCAGTTGACTGAAGTAATATTCCATGACTATCCTAGTATCACTGTTATCACCATAAATGCAGAACAGGGATAGCACATGGTGAGTTAGAAGAATAAATTTATCAGTGGCTGTGTCAATAAAGCATTAATCATACATGTTCATGAAGTTTCTAATAGTCATTACTAAGTAATTAATTCTTGGAAGCCATTAAGAATAAGACAATGTTTATACTGTATTGTGGAGTTTTATGCTGAGAACAGCAAAACTTATGTATTTCCTTTCTCTATTTGTCCATATTTCATATGCCACCCTTTTAAAACTATTTGACTCCAAGCTGTGAAGGCAAAAAGGCTTGCAAGAGATACAGAACTTTGTACATTCAGACAACTTTGTGTTTTTCTGAATAGATTGCTGTGTCGTAGTTTCTGCAAGTTCCATGTTTAAGATTTTGTGACATTCTGTTCAAGAATCACACAAAGTTAATGTGAAATATTTAGAAGGATTTGGGGTTTTTATGGCTGTGAGTATGAAGATGGCACAGGCCCTTGCTGGGTCCATCAGAACTGTAATGATGGAGGCAGCAAGGACCTCTGAAAGGCTGCATGGTGTTATAACCCAGAAGATAGACAACATTGCAGTAGACAGTAATATTCGTACTTGCCACCGTGAGAAAACAAGTCAGTCCATTGTAATAAGGCGACTTAACCGGTGCGGTGTCGTCACGTTTCAGGCAACCCATATCCGTCACTGCTACCAGACACAATTTCCAACAGAAATCTGATACACAACGTTTTGCTGGACGAGGCTCACAAGGAATACAGGGCACAGAAATACGCGGAGATCGCAAGGAAACTGGAAGCAGCTGATGAGAATGTGGCCAAGTCCTCTGGTGATAGTGATGGTCCAGAATCCTCAGGCTTAGAAACCCCTGAAGAGATTAAGGCCTCGACAGAAGCACAGGTCGCCAGCGAAGTACAACCATCAGGTGAGAAAGTGGCACGGCCCAGCAAGGATGTGCAGTGACGCTGCAGTTTTTGCTTTTGATTTTGTAAGAAAGAGATGACGTACGTACGTGAGCGAGCGAGCGAACATCCGCCCGGTAGGAGTTCTGCACAACTGTGATCAGACCTGGCTGTAGTGATGTTCATTGATCTGCATTGTGATTGTATTTGTACATATAAATACCAGAATTATGCTAAATTTCCCCTTTTTCTCTCCCTCCTCTTGAATCCATGCCACAGAACAGGCTTTCATGTGTTCTTGAAATATAAATTGCTGATGGTGTCCCTCGTTGTCCCTCTCATTCCTCTTCAGTTCTTTCCACCAAGATGCACTCGCCTCAGCTGTGGCAATGCCAGAACTGACTTTTCTTCTAGCCCCTGTGTCCAGGCCCGCTCGTGCTCGTATCCAGTGGGTACCAGGGGTCCTTTCCCCGCTGTCAAAGAGCGGGC